GAAGTCCCATATCAATATGCAGAGGACACACAGTTCTCATTTTTCTTTTCCTCTAAAATTTATGAGATGATCGGCATTCTGAACTAGGGCTGAACTAGGGTAATAGATTGGATGAAGGCTGATAATCTGAGACTCAATCCACACAAGATGCAGATACTGTTTTGGGATGACACATCAGTCCATTTGTGTAGAATATAGTGAGTTTCAGAAGGGAGGGACTTTTTCCTAGAGGGCAAAGGGATAGTGGAGCTTGGGATGTCTGGTAGACAGGAAGAGAGCAAAGTTGGACTATCCCTAGCAGTTCTCAGAGTATGTCTACAATTATTGCATATAATTGGTTTATTCAGGCAAGATTATTTTTGTAGGTTAGCAACAATAATGGAACTACAGAAGTAACTCCACGGGTTGTTCTTGGGCTGAGTGATGACCAGTGGTGGGTTGCCAATTTTTTTACTACCAGTTCAGGCACACGCAACACTTCTGCGCATGCGCAGAAGCATCCAGGTGGGTGGGGCCTCCCACCACCGCTACTACTGGTTTGCCTGATCTGGGCCAAACTGGGAGCAACCCATCTCTGGTGATGCCCTGTTGGACCTATCAGCCTTTCCTGACAGGAAACAGGATTAGATGAATTAATTCTTCTTTACTGTAAAGCTACATTAACAGAACCTTGCAAAGTTTGAAGGCACAAACTTCCTGCTGTCATATTTCACTACTACTTCTATTTGTGGCGGCAGCGGGGGGGGGCTTTCTAAATTTTTCTGTCTGACTATTAAACCAACAGGAGCTCCAGCCTCTCTTGTCTGATTGTTTCCTAGTGGCATCTCTTTCCCTCCTCTCTCAAGATCATCCATGCATTCCATTGCAGGCAGCTTAGCCTGCAGCAGGAATCTAGACATGGCAAACATCTCAGAACAGGCCCTCGAGCAATAAAAAAGGCCAAGGAGAAATATATATTCTGACTAGCAAGATTCTGTTAATGTAAACTATAGTAATTCTAAAGTAGAATTAGTTCAGCGGAGTGTACTTCCTTTCTGGACTAACTTGCATGGCTAACACATACATATCCCCCCTCACAATCTGAAATCTTTTCCAAGTCCCTCCAAAGGAAGAGAGGCAGGCGTCTACAAGGGGGAAAACTTGTTCTGTGGTGGCACCCCATTTATGGAATTCCCTGTCCAGAGGGCCTCAACCGGTGCCTACATTAGCATCACTTTTGTATGTTTCCAATTTCCCAGGCTCCTGGCTTGGTTTTAATATATTGTTTAGATTATGAATTATTGCCCTACTGCTGCCTTTTTTCTATGATACTTCCATTTTGTAGTTCAATCAATCAATGAACTAAACTTTATTACAGCTCATAGACCCTACCTTTTATTTGATTGTTGTATATATGCTTTTATTCAGATTATATTTTAATGTGCTGTATTATTAAACAACTAAGATGTCTGGTTACTGGATGTTTAAGATAGTTACTTAATCTGGAACATGTTTCTTACTTTGTTCTTCATTTTACGAACAACAGCATTCTTGTCATTCTGTCTGGTTAATTGTTAAAATAGTTTTTCTTGGAGAAAGTCTTAGATTTAGCTATTTGAATGAGTTCTGTTCAAAACATACACATGGTTGTATACATGTAGTCATGAGGGGTTTTGTGAAAGAGTTTATCCTTCCTTGCCTGATATTAAAGGGGTTTTAATGAAAAGCTAAGTTTCTAAATTCTTTTTTAAAATTATATATATATTATTTTTCAAAATACAAAAAGGATTTTATTCTTAATCTTACCTTTATTCATTTTTTCTTATAGTTTTTATGAGTCAGTGTTTGGATCAATAGTGGTGTTGAAAGAAATGTCCTTCTGGGTTCACTCCAAGGGGGAAAAAGACACTTGAGACATGGAGGTTGCTTGGAAAGATGGCTTAATGGGGGACAGGACCACATCGCTTGAGTTCTGAACAGAAAAGGTGATCACATGCTTCAATGTTGGTAGAGAAAAGAGAAGGGCCGCCTGAGATGCTGATTCCCTGGTTTTATGCCCTCTCTGGCCTTTGATCTTGATCTTGTATTCTGATTGGTTGTCAGACTCCCATGGAGCCATGCAGGGGCAACTAGGCTGCGTTTTGAATCCAGGTTTGGCTGAGTTCTCAGATGCCAGGTGGTGAGTTGGCAAAGTGCCAATATTATCATGCCTTAATCCCATCCCCCTGGAGCTGAAGGCGAGAACTCTTTATTATGTAAAGGGACTGACTTGGTCTTCTTAATGGCCCATTGACAAAAAGGGTGGAGGCAGGAAGCTACAGGGAGCTATTCTCTCTTTATAAAACATTGTTCTTCCTTTTCACATCCAGAGAAATATAATATTCTGCCTTTTCAATATTTCCTAGGATATTTCATTTTTCTGGGAGAGGGCTGGATGATAACTTTCCACAGTGGGTTTCACTTACCTTCGCTACCAGTTTGCAAATATGAGCGCGCTCGCATGAGCGCTCGCTGCACTCAAATGCACCAACTTTTGTGCATGCGTACCGCCTTCTGCACATGCGCAGAAGGTCATGCATTACGTCAGGGTGGGTGGGTGGGTGGAGCCTCCAGCAGCTACCACTATCAGTTCACCCAAACTGGTAAGAACCAGCAGACCACCACTGGTTTGCATATAAAACATATTTTTGTGTCAACTGCAGTACTGTTTACCCCTAGGGCTAAATGTTTGGTGGACCAGAAGTAATAAGGCTTTGGGAGGGGAGTAATGCCGTGAATGAGGTAAGGACATAGCTGGTCTGTGATTTCCTGACTTTTCTCCCCCAATGTATTGGGGGAAGAATTTTTATTTTCATTTCATATACCAGGGATGTGGTAACTTTAAAACTTGTGGACTTCAATTCCTCCTGAGAATTCCTCAACCAGCTTTCACCATAGCTTTTACCATCCATGTAGCCAAATGCAATGAATCTGTAGGCTACCTCTGAATTTGTATCATTACCATAGCAATAAGTTGACTAGATTCACTCAGTTTTGTTCTGCTCCTCATATGTTTGCCAAACCATTATGAGATATTAGAATTTTTTACAGGGTAAAAAAATCTGTTTGGAAGGCCTGTTTATTTTAATGTGTTGAGGTGCCAGTTTTTGTTTCCTTTTTATTATTTAATACTTGTTTGAACAATCTGCACTGACAGTGGAGTCAGACCAGATTTTCTACAGTACCATTGAATGTTTTTATACTGTCCCAGTTCTCCCCTTCTCTTTCAAAACTGTTATTTCAAACGCAACGTTTAATGTGCTACAGAGTTTCAGGGGCCGCCAAGTTATGTGCAACTTGAACATTAGCATCAAAATGCTTTGAAATGGCATGGGAAGCAACTGACATTAATTGAGAAGTGTCTTCAAATGACTTCTGAAACTTATTAGTTTGCCTGGAGACTTTAAGCTGGTTGGGTAAAGAGAGTCAATATGCATTTAAAATGTCAGATAATTGTAATCAGAGTACAGCTGTTGCCTATGTAAATTTCAGGCACATCTGCCTTTGTTAGTTTAACGTGTTAGAATTTTCTAAGTTGTACCAATCAGTGGAAAGAATCTGATATTGTACTTCAAAATGCTGGATGTTTTGCCCTTTTCCTAGAGCCTTAATTTACACTTGCTTTGCTCATACTGGCTTTTAAATCAGAGAGACCTTTTCAAGACAGCTCTGTCAGAAAGAAAAGAGAAGAATAGGTAGAATGTAATAATGTTTTTTTTAAAGAGTTAACCAATAAACACTCTATTCTTTAGTGTAGCAATGACTGTATGATTTACATGCTCATATACATTCTTTTCATCCTGGACTCTTTCTTCTCTGCTCATTTGCTGCTTTCAGATTGTAATTCTACTGTATTGGGAAATACCTCTTGTGCATAAGCTGCGAAGTTCTTTATGCTAATATTCTTTTAAGATCATGGTGTAAAATGTTAGTAGCACAATTTACTTGATTTTAGACCTTTTTTGCCCACTGTAGGCTGCAGTCATGATAATAAAACATCTATGGACCCTTAACAATAATGTAGCAAAAAGCAATAAGCAGTCATCTCAAGTTATTCCTGAGATAGGGTTGGTTACTTGTTCACTCAGACTCATGGACACACAAGGAATTTGTCTCTGGTGCATAATCTCTCAGTGTACATAGAAGCAACAAGTGATAAATCATGATTATAATCATAAAATACATTCATCATAAATGATAAGATACAGTACTTAGTGATGATCATTGAATACTAAATAATCAATCAAAATAAATCATACTAGGATACTAAATAAAACAATTAATATAAATCATAAGATATAAACAACAAAGTTATAATCATAAGAAGATAAGGAATAGGTAATAGAAAAGATGAGAAGGATAATAGTAATACTGCCCTACTAGGTAGTTTGACAGTATTGTGGGAATTAGTTGTTTAGCAGAGTGATGGCATAGAGGGAAAACTGTCCTTGTGTCTGGTTGTTTTGGCATGCAATGCCCTATAGTGTCATCTTGATGGAAGAAGTTGAAACAGTTTATGTCCAGGATGTGAGGGGTCTGTACACATTTTCATAGCTCTCTTTCTGGCTTATGCAGTATACAGGTCCTGAATGAAAGGCAGCTTATAACAACTGTTTTTTCTGCAGTTCTAACTATCCATTGAAGTCTGTGTCTGTCTTGTTTGGTTGGATAACATGATTTTATTTATATACTATTGCATTTCTACAATATTTTGTAGGTTTTTAACCTCTAATTAAATATTTCATTTCAGGTCTCCCCCCCCCCCCCCATGAGTGCCTTCTGTATGTGATGAATTGCAGTTCCCCTACTTTTAGATCAATTTCCCAACACATGTGGATGGTACCATATTAGGGAAAGCTGGTTTATTTTAAGGTTAAACTCCATATGCTTATCAACATCTTTGTGACTTTTCTTTATTTCTTTATTTTAAGCATTTCTAACAGGAACCTAAAGTTTTGTAAACTTTTTTATTTTTACTCTAGACAAAGGTGAAAATGGGGAACCATATCAAAGGAGGAAAGGTGCTGGACATAGTCAGCCAGATCTTCCTGCAGTGTCCCACACACTCAAAGACAACGTTCCTGTTCCAGCAAGCAGCAGTTGGAGGAGGATCATGTTGTTGATTTTTGCAATAACAATACACAACATTCCTGGTAAGCCCTGTTTTGCTCTTTGGTGTCTCTAATTCTCAGACTTGAAAATACCATAAGTAGGGTTTTCATTATGGTCTTAAGGAGCATCCAAGTAATACTTCAGGTGCTTTTCAGATTTGATAAGTAAAGTTAATAAAGTGACTGCTAATAGATTCAGTACAATGAGTGATGTTGGCATTATAATTATGTCTCTGTGAAGCAAGAATGATGAATGGCCTTCTAAGTTTACTCTGAATTGAATGTACTGTAATTCCTAATGACAAAAAAAGAAAAAGGAAAAAAGAGGTTTATGTAGTCACCAGTAGCTGAGATCAATATAAGGGGACTTTATCTAAAGGATGTATTATAGAACCCACTATTCACAGTTAAAAGTATGAAAACCCATTGTGGTGGATGCAAAAAGAGATATCAGGCTCTTTGTCAGCTGCTTCAAATTTGTTCTTTACAAGTACAATTCTCATAGTTTACTTTATTAATATTTATTGAAATAAATGATATGAAATTAGAAAAATTACAGCAATTGAACTAATGAACAAATATATCTCCTATGCCAATGATGGCTTTTTCTAAAGGTGTGCCAAACTGCGTGTGTGTGTGCTATCGCGCGCATGTGCAAGCGACCCCTCCACCTGTACATGTGCGAGCAACCCCTCCCCCGTGCATGCACGAGTGACCCCTGCATGGGGGAGGGGGATTTTCACACTCCCAAGGCTCCGGAGGCTTTCCTAAAGCCTAGGGAGGGGGAAAACTTTTTTGCCTTCCCCAGGCTTCAGGAAAGCCTCCGGAGCCTGGGGAGGGCGAAAACAGGCCCAATGGGCCAACCGGAAGTTCAGAAACAAGGGCTGCCAAGGGCTGCCATGCCGGCAAATATGTCTCTGTGTGCCACCTGTGGCATGTGTGCCATAGGTTCGCCATCACGGGCCTATATGATGATTTCCTACATCTTTGTACCAACAGTTATAGGAGACATACTTTGCCATTACCTTCTTTCCATATGCCTTTTCAACTTCCCTGTCAAGCATAGGACTCTTAAGATTTCTCCCATCAAAATACTAACCAGGGCTGAACCTCATTAGCATTTTTTCAGTTCAACCAAAGTCACCCAAACATTCTCTTGAAATATATTGTAATTTAAAGAAATCAATTTGCCATTGATTTTGATTGCAGCAAAAAAAAAATGATGTTCATTGTAGCCTGAACCAAGTCTTCTTCAGCCAAAGTCAGATAAGTAAACAAAATAATTGTAAAGAATTTTAAATAAATAGATTGATGAATTATTTGAACATCACATTCCCATTCATTTAAATATTTTAGAGAATTTGGCTAATATCCAGGCAACCAAAAATGCATGCTAGGCAAAATGGCTTTAGATAGTGTCAGCAATAGCAATAGCAATAGTTAGGCTTATATACCGCTTCATAGGGCTTTCAGCCCTCTCTAAGCGGTTTACAGAGTCAGCATATTGCCCCCAACAACAATCTGGGTCCTCATTTTACCCACCTCGGAAGGATGGAAGGCAGTGCAGACACAAAGTATTTTTTCAAAGAATCATAAATAGCAGTAGCAATAGCAATAGCAATAGCAGTAGACTTATATACCGCTTCATAGGGCTTTCAGCCCTCTCTAAGCGGTTTACAGAGTCAGCATATTGCCCCCAACAACAATCTGGGTCCTCATTTTACCCACCTCGGAAGGATGGAAGCAATGTTCCCTCTAATTTTTTTTCAGTGTGAGTGGAAAAGTATAGTGTTTGAGCG